GTGTCCCTCAAATGGCTGTTAAGAGATGCAGAACAGAAAGTACACACACAGCATACCTGTATCTCCTGTAGTGATTTTTGTGGCCACGCCTCCCCCACCTAGCCCCACTGTGGGAGTGTGGCTGTCTTGCTAGAACGCAGCACACAGATGGGGACCTTACCTTCCTGCTCTGTGTTACATCGCATTGTTACCGCCCCCTTCCTGTAGAGGCACACCCTGCTCTAGAGGGAGGTAGTGAAGGAGTCTGGACTGTCACGTGACCACTGAATAAAGGCAAAATAACAGATACATATAAAAAATGATTTCTGTTAGCAAATGGGGTTGGCTGTTTTGCTGCCGACACTTAAGCTGCTGGGTTTACTACTTTAAAGCAGGGGTCTCCAAACTTTTCAAAACAAATGGCCAGTCTACTGTCCTTCAGATTTTAGGAGGGCAAGGTTGTGGCCAGTGGGGGTAAAAATGTCCCGTGCCCAGCATCAGTGAAAATAAACATGGCCTCAGGGTTGGTGGTCAGTAGGAGGAATAGTGCCCCATTGTTGGTCTCAGTGGGAGGAGCAGTGCCCCATCATTGGGTGGAACAGTGCCCCATCATTGGTATCAGTGGGTGGAACAGTGCCCCATCATTGGTGTCAGTGGAACAGTGCCCCATCATTGGTGTCAGTGGGAGGAACAGTGTCCCATCATTGGTATCAGTGGGAGGAACAGTGTCCCATCATTGGTATCAGTGGGAGGACCAGTGCAATATTGTTGGTGTCAGAGTGAGGAAGAGTGCCCCAAGGGCCAGATAAAGGCTAGCAAAGGGCCTCATCCAGCCCTTGGGCCAGCAGTTTGGAGACCCCTGCTTTAAAGCATAGTGAGATGATTCCTAGAGCAACTGCACGTCCAAAACAAACTTCCTTTGAATGCGGCAGGGAAGGATTTATGCCACAGTTCTACTTATAGCATTGCAGCCAAATTCCATTGACACCAGTCATAAACTCGACATACATACAGAGAATGGGTGACACAAGAAAGCCATTTTATCTCCTCCTTGTGGTCTCTCCCGAGGAACATAAGGAACTGCAGTAGGTGACATGGGAAGCTCAGCTGAGAAGCCACGACAGGCCAGACATAGAACCATCTATTGGACAGGCTAAATGGCTGAACCCCTGCCAAGGCCACCAACTTGAAAACAAAACAAAAAACACTACTATCTTTGGGAATTATGAACTTTCATAATAGATGGAAGTTGCTTTATGTTTGCTGCAACCAACACCACACAAGTACCTATTCAGTGGTGTTTGCTACGACTGGGGGATGCTGACAAGTATTTGCTCCAGCACCCAGGCTCTGCAGCAGGAAGCCCACCAATTTCTTTGCTTTGGAAAGGAACAGAGATTTTAATGTGTGTGCACAGCTTCTGCGGCTGTGCCGGGGAAGAACATCATTGGTGTCGGGGTGCAGGTAGAAGTCTCAGCGTTCCTCTACACTCAGCAGTGCCAACAAAACGCAGAAAGCTGAACCTTAAAACCAACACTGTACAAGACTTTAAAGGGCCAGACAAGTCAAAACCACTTTTTGTTAGCTTCTCATCTTCCAGGTATTCTGGAAGGGACATACTGAAGCGTAGCTTTCCAGATCAGTTTTACTCTTCCTGCTGCTTTCCTTTTTTTTTTTATTATAAGGTTGGTGGGACCACCAAAAACAAGACGGCATGAACACAGCCAAAAGATCCTATCGCTGGAATCGGAAGCCAAGACCGCCTGCGCCAGTGGACGGAACCGCCTGCGCCAGTGGACGACACTCTACCGCCTGCGCCAGTGGGACGTGGAGTGGACGACACTCTACCGCCTGCGCCAGTGGACGACACTCTACCGCCTGCGCCAGTGGACGACACTCTACCCCTTGCGCCTGTGGATGACACTCTACACGCTACCCTTGCGCCAGTACACACCTGCGCCAGTGGACGACACTCTACGCCTGCGCCAGTGGACGACTCTACACGCCTGCGCCAGTAGACGACACTCTACGCCTGCGACAGCTGGCCTGACCCTTTAACACCACAAAAAAAAACCTTCAAAAATCAGAACTCTGGCTAGAAGCTTTGGCTTGCTGTTGTTGGCTACATGGAAAGGAAGACAAGAACCTCCATCAATTCTTCATGCTATACTAGTGATACAACAGGATTTTAAAGTGGAACTTTAGCCAGAAAATTAAGTCCTGCTAGATCACTTCAGGCTGGCCCCTTTTGCACGTATAGCTACATAAAACTAATGTGTAAAGCCATGTAAATATAACTGCCTATACTGTTTAAAATCCAGTAACACACTGTCTCACTGTGCTCTGTGAATAGTTGCTATTATTCAGCACTGCCAAAAATGAAGAGGTCCATCTGCAGACAGCCTAAAGATTTACTGCTGCTCAGGGGGCTCTGGGCTACAACAAAATGGCAGCCTCCAGCAAGAAGAAACAGGAACCATGCTGGAAGCAATTTACAGCACACACACACGAATACTGGAAATTATTAATGTGGAATGTATGTTCCTTGCTAAAGAAAATTTTTTTTTATCAAATTATTGGTAAAGTTACACTGTGAGCCAAATTCCTCCCAAGGAATACACAAGTACCCCTATTTTCGCTCCCTGTGAAATCTGTAGACTTTTGGCTTTTCCACAACATTACATTCTGGAGATTTTAAGAAAAGGAGCACCGAGGAACAACAGTTCTGATAAAGTTGATTTTCACAGTAATCGTTTTAAAAAACAGCCAACACACTTCCAAGGGGCTCATCCATCAGGGCTTGATGATGCTGTACTGGATAGGAAGGTCTAAGCAGAAAAGTGTGGAAATCCTGGAGTTGTGAAAGCTTTAGCAGCTGAGACTAATGTGACAAACTTTATCTGGACTGTCATATACTCTGGGACTTTTTTCTATAAACCTGGGGTCTAACCCAATGGAGGTATAGAGAAAGGCCTTAACTGCAGACACGGACCTCACCCAAGGACCACACATTGGAGGAGAAGTACTAAAACTGGAGCACTCGGAATTTGGCAGCCAATCAACTTCTAACTTCAGCTTGTTCAGTTAAGCTTTGGCAATAAAACCTGCAAGCCGACTGGTTTCTGGTGTTAGATATATGTAATACAAGACAGGGCCTGTCAGATTATACATACTATAGGAAATAACGAGACTGGCATGTTACAGATCTGGCTAAAAACTGGAGACGTGTTGCAGAAGACAGGAAGGCTAGGTTCACATCTGTGCGGTTGGTGCGACTGCGGATCCGCACAAAAATCCGTGTAGCCGCACCACCCGCACAGAGGAATGCAGACCTGCGGGCGGGTGCCATTAATTCTAATGGCACGCAGCTCGCACTGGAAATCGAAACCACAATGGGAACCGAGGTTCCCGTGCGGGCTGCGTTTTCAGAAGTTCAGGGACTTCTTCCCTGCGTGTCCCGGGGTATGGGAATCCATGCAAATGAATGGGCTCTCGTGCAAAACGCGGACCGCAGATATGTGAACCAGGGGTGAGACTGGGGGCATGTTATACGAGATTAGAGAAGATCACTCCTATTAACCCCTTACAAACATATCAATACTCCCATTAAGCAGCCAGTGCTATCTGTAGACTGCTTCAGGTCACATGTTGGGACACAGATAGCACCAAGTGCTATCTGTAGACTGCTTCAGTTCACATGTTGAGACAGATCTGTAGATAGCACCCAGTGCCATCTGTAGACCCAGTGCTATCTTCAGGTCACATGTTGAGACACAGATAGCACCCAGTGCTATCTGTAGACTGCTTCAGGTCACATGTTGGGACACAGATAGCACTTGGTGCTATCTGTAGACTGCTTCAGGTCACATGTTGAGACACAGATATAGCACCCAGTGCTATCTGTAGACTGCTTCAGGTCACATGTTGAGACAGATATAGCACCCAGTGCTATCTGTAGACTGCTTCAGGTCACATGTTGAGACAGATATAGCACCCAGTGCCATCTGTAGACTGCTTCAGGTCACATGTTGAGACGAGACACAGATAGCACCCAGTGCTATCTGTAGACTGCTTCAGGTCACATGTTGGGACACAAGAGGTTTGACCTTTCCTCGTGCCATCTAAAAGTAGAAAAACATGTTTGAACTGGAACTCTAGGACAGTGCCTACCTTCCCCTACCCTCTCACACAGCAAGCATAACGACTGCTGCAAAACAACAGGTGCACTTTGAGGCAAACAGGTGGGTGAACAGCAGAGGGTCTACCTCTAAAACTAGGCAAAGTGCAAACGGCATGCAGAGCGCTCCGACAAACAAAAATTAAATAAAAAAAAAACAAAACAAAACAAAAAAAAAACATTAACTGCAGATGATCCTTTGATTTTATTTAAAATAAAAAAAGTGATGCTATGATAGTGATGGGGGACCACCATTCTTTAATATAAACATTCAGATTTGAAATGAACGTCCTATGATGGAAAAATAATATTAATAAAATAAGCGAAGGAGAAAAAAAAAAAAAAAGTAGTCGACAGAAACTTCACAAGTCGTCTGTCAGTAACATTTATCGGACTTAAATAAGGAGGGGCAAATCCAAGTTCTCTTTTTCTTTTTTTTTTTTCTTTTTTTTTTTTAAAAATGGCACTTTTCTTACAAACCAATGAGCTTAAAACAAAAGAAAAATATATATAATATATATATATTTTTGCACAGATGCAGGTGTTAAGTCAAATGCCCCCTAAAAGAAAACAAAATAAAACAAAAAAAACGGCTGCAAAATGCAGAAAAACCACATTTAGGCTCTATTACATTTACAAATACATACATAAATATATTACATACACCGGCAAACCAAAAAGAAAGCGGGTATAAGTTTTACACTAAGGATGTGTTTTGTAGATTCTTCCCGCACAGACATTTTGGCTGATCACAGTTGTATCTTCCATAAAGTATTCAGAACGAATGGTGGCGTCCAGGAATGGGCTTCTAGCGTCATCTTCTTGAGGGCGGCGATGGGACGCCTCAGTTTGTCCAGTAGGGGGAACTGGTGTAGGCGGTCTTGTTGGCCTGAGTCTTCTGCTGCATGGAGTTGGGCTGACTGCGCTGGCCGGAGCCACCCTGCAAAGGAAAGCCAAAGGTGTTAGAAAACAGGACTCCAAAAATGAGAAAGAATGTGTCCCCTATACAAGCCAACAGGAAGCCGACACCTGTGCCCTGCATTCCTGAGGGGGGTTTCAAACTATGGCCCTCCAGTTGTTGAGGATCTGCAAGACTGACAGCTGCAGACATGACTTCCAGAAGTAGGCATGATGGGACTTGTAGTTCCTCAACAGCTGGAATTTGGAGAACTCTTCTCTATTATCTCCCTTTAACCCTTTCGCTGCCAGGTCTGTATGTCATAAGAACAGAGTGTGGGTTTCACATAATCTAGTGGCTGCTGTAACGGAACCGAACCCAGACCGCACTTGGGTATTTCTGTTATACTCCACTTCCCTGTCTGAACACCAATCCCCGGACAACACCCGCTGATCATGCAGGAAATAAGACAGCACCAGACTCTCTTAAGACAGGAAGTCAACTGCTTTATTTTTACACAAACACAAGATATATACACAGGGTGGGGAAACACAACCAGGAACAGAAAACACATCATCAGCCCGCCCCATCAGTGGGAAGGGCTACAGGAAACACCCCCCACCCAACCAAGACACAGAACAATGGGATGCAGCACATGGCAGAGAACAATGGACAACCATGGCAGAGTGAACAATGGACAACCACCTGGCAGAGAACAATGGACAACCACCTGGCAGAGAACAATGGACAACCACCTGGCAGAGAACAATGGACAACCACCTGGCAGAGAACAATGGACAACCACCTGGCAGAGAACAATGGACAACCACCTGGCAGAGAACAATGGACAACCACCTGGCAGAGAACAATGGACAACCACCTGGCAGAGAACAATGGACAACCACCTGGCAGAGAACAATGGACAACCACCTGGCCGAGAACAATGGACAACCACCTGGCCGAGAACAATGGACAACCACCTGGCCGAGAACAATGGACAACCACCTGGCCGAGAACAATGGACAACCACCTGGCCGAGAACAATGGACAACCACCTGGCCGAGAACAATGGACAACCACCTGGCCGAGAACAATGGACACCCCACCTGGCCGAGAACAATGGACAACCACCTGGCAGAGAACAATGGACAACCCCACCTGGCAGAGAACAATGGACAACCACCTGGCAGAGAAAAATGGACAACCACCTGGCAGAGAACAATGGACAACCACCTGGCAGTGAACAATGGACAACCACCTGGCAGTGAACAATGGACAACCACCTGGCAGTGAACAATGGACAATCCCCACACCAATACACAATACTATGACATTCACACCCTGTACCCCTTAACAGGCACAGGGTGGGTTAAACATAATGAAGGGAACATGAGCTGACACAGGGGTCCCCACACCCCTAAAAACCACTCCTGTGACTTGGGATTGTGTATAAATCTGACAGGCCAACTCCTGCCTACCAAGTGGAAGCAGTCAGGTGGCTGTGCTGCCGCCGCCCGATTACTTCCACACACCCACAAAGTATCGGTTTCCTCCTCCATGTAATCCAGGCTCCACTTGTCCTGCTGCAGGCTTGGGGCAGACAGGGTGGGTGCCAGTGGGTGAAGGGGAGGGAGGAGAACAGACACACGCATCTCCTCCCCTTCTTGCTGTGACCCAGAAAGTGACGTGTATGACATCACTTCCAGAAATGGTTCTGGCAGCAAAAGGGTTGAATACCATTCAAAGTTTTGTTGTTACTGATGAATAAGTGTCTAGAAAACTTACCATATTTGATCCTGTTGGAAATTCTTGTGAGCTAATACATTGATGTTCGCTCTCGCTCTGCCTGTGCTGACTGATTACCAACTACCTCTGTGAACTACAAAACACCTCCACAAGCTATGAAGACTAGGGGGAGGTATTTTGTTGTTTTACAGCACTTCCTGTTCTAAGGTGAAAATGTTGCTTTGACACCCCCCCCCCCAACAGGGTCACTTTGTCTGAAGATGGGAGAATAAACAAAATGAGCATCGCTGACGACTGTAATAAATATAGACCAAAGAGGACACACTACTATGGATAGAAGCTGATGGATCCATTCTAATTTCTGTGCATGTTTTGGACGTACCCCATGCTACAAGACTCAAACTGCCGAGGTAGACTGGGCTTGTTCAGTAGGTACATTCAGCGATCATGCGACTGGAAGTTTACTTTGTATGGTTTGTGTGCTTCTTACCTGTCCATCCTGCTGCAGGTGGTGATGGAGCAGCTGAGAGTGAGGCTGCTGATGAGCAGGTAGAATATGAAGGAAGGGAGGTGGGGCGTAGCCAGCAGCAGCACCTGGGTTCAGGGGCCCCGTTGAGCCAAGGGCAGAGGGGAGGCTGAAGGGTGGTGGTGTAGCCGCATGGAATCCCTGCTTGTCAAATGTCTGAAAGGCAGAAGAGAATGGACTGATGTAAAAACATCTCCTGAGCTGAACAGGGCGCAATGACAAAGACTTGCACTCACCGGAGTCTTGTTGTAGACCGATCCGCTGATGTCAGGCACGCCTGTGTTACTGGAGCTCACCGACACTCCTGTGCAGACACAAATACATGTCACATATTGACCCCGGTAATACCCTCCGTGCATCAAGTCCCTGACCAAACAAGCTTCTTGTAGACATTCCTGGTCAAGTGATCAATCTCTCCTTTTCTTGTTGTGTAAGGGAAATCATTTATTGTAAGCATGGCCTGGCCTAAAAAGTACCCATGGGAACTATGGTGCTCAAGTGCAGCATCTTGTGGCCCCTTTTGGCCTCTGTGTGCCTGAACCTCATCATTCATCAGATAAATGCCAAACCCTGCATGGGCAGTAGAGGTTCTGGCTTCTGACACGTAAATGACAGGCTGGGCATACAAGGGGTAACTTGGAGACCTCAGGGAGACAGCAGTTGGTTGGGATGCAGGAAAGTGAATTTTTCAATTTGACATTTCCCTACATGAGACCTTCTATGTTTAATGGCTAAGTTCACCTTTTGGAACAGGTTACCTGTTCTACCCATGTAACATGTTCCAGCTCTTGCCGCCAGTTTCCCCGATCTCCCCCTCTTCGGTGTGACAGCGGGCAGGGGATCTTCTACCCACACCTGCTATCACAATATAACCACTTCCCATCCGGCCCATGTACATAAACGGCCGGACAGGAGCAGTGCAGGGGCGGGTTGCCGTTCATAAGCCGCACCCGCATTTTCAGCCTGTGCACACTGCCTGGGAGCGCGTGGCACCGCAATCCGGTGTCGCCTGTGGCCTCCGGACACAGTGGAACACCGATCGCTGTACGGGACCTCTGTGTGAGGTCCCGATCATGTGATCACTGATTGGCCAATCAGTGATCACAAATAGTAGTAAGCAAGATGTCACATCTGACTACTTGTGAAATCTGTGAATGATCACAGAGATCACATGGTACAGGGCTATTAACAACAGCCTTGTACCATATGACAAGCTGCGACCAATCACAGCTCACACAGTAGTTCTCAATGGCTGCAAGAATGCAGCCAGAAAGAAGGAGAAATTATTCCTTTTACAGCCTTTATGGGTGTAAAAGCAATCAGTGTAAAAAAACAAAAACAAAAAAAAAATCATCACCCCCCCCACAAGTAGTAGTGTCACTGTGGTGACACTGTACTGCTAGGGTGACAGTATGTTAAAAAAAAAAACCAAAAAAAATATATTAAAAAAAGTTTTAGAAAAATTATAATTTTTGGTTCTAAACAAACTTTTTTTTTTTACTAAAAAGATAGATGAATATATTTTGGTCACGATTTATGAAGACAGATTATTTGCAAAATTTTATAAGAAAAAACACTTTTGAAAATTTTTGGACTTTCATTTATATAGCAAAAAATAAAAATCCCAGTGGTGAATAAAATCCACCAAAATAAAGTTTTATCTGTCTCAAAAAAAAATGCTAAAAAATTCAAATGGGTCAGTGTTTCATGACTGTGTAATTGTCATTTAAAAAGTGTGATAGCGCTGAAAGCTGAAAATTGGCCTGGACAGGAAGGGGGTAAAAGTGTCCTGACTTGAAGTGGTTAAAAACAGCTTCAGTTTCTTGTGAATGAACTACAACTAACATTAGCCCCTGCAGTAGACGGCTTGGAGTTCCCAATGAACTGCGAGGGCGCTGATGTAAAGTCCAGCAGCTTTCAGACAGCTCATGTGCAGGTACAGGCTGAAAGCTGCAAGGCTTGTCTGCAGAAACCTGACATTGCACCTCTGATCCACTGGTCACGGGTGCAATGCTTTCCAGGCTCCTGCGGAAAAAAATATTGAATACATTCTTTTCTTACAAAGATGTGTGCATTTATTATTTTTTTTCTGAACTTATCCTTTAAGAATCGATCAAGCGACTTGCACCCATCAATGCTGAAGGTCCTGTTCAGTGCTGCCTTACAGAAATGATTCAAGGACTATGAACCTGGAAGGGACAGCGGCACTTTAAATTAGGGCTCAACAAATCCCAGGCGCCAGACCACCAAGGCGACTAGAAATTGCATCCTGACACTTGGGCTTTTTTTCCCCGACAAAGCAGAATACATTTTGGTATAAATTTATGAAGAAATGTCTTTTTTATTGGATGTGTTTTATAGCAAAAAGTAAAAAAAAAATGTTTTTCAAAATTTTGGGTCTTTTTTTTTTTTTTGTTTAGTGTGGAATCACACGTGTGGTGCGACTTGACAAAGATGTAGTTCAGTGTTTCAGGTCAGGTTTAGATCAGGATTTTATCCTGTTGACAACTGAATGACGTGCGATTCAGAAGCATTCCCATAGAAGTCAATAGGCCGGAGCCGGCCCGCACTACTTAGAAAACGGACAGGGCTCTTTCAATTTGCACTGAATCTGCATTCCAGCTGCACCGGACATATGTGAACAGGCACAATAGAAAGCAATGTTCCTTCACGTTATGAAAATTGATACGGTTCAAATCACATCCACCAACCACGGCGCCACCTGCCTGGAGTTTGCATGTTCTCCCTGTGCCTGCGTGGAGTTTTTCCAGGTACTTCAAAGACATGCTGGTAGGTGAATTGAATCCTGTCTATATTGTCCCTAGTATGTGTATGTATGAATGTGAGTCGGGACCTTAGATTGTATTGGATGTCACTCCACTTCCTCAAATTAAACCTTTCCAAAACCGAGCTCCTAGTTTTCCCCCCAGCCCGCACCCCCCCCCCCCCCCCCCCTCTCTCCATCACGACCAACAACGCCACCATAAGTCCCACCCTGCAAAGTTCTAGGCGTCACTCTAGACTCCAATCTGTCCTTCCAGACCCAATCGCTGACAAATTCATGTAGACTCCACCTCCGCAACATCTCCAAAATACGTCCGTTCCTAACCCCAGACACTACATCAAAACAACTCATTCACTCCCTTATCTCACGTCTGGACTACTGCAACTCCCTTCTCACCGGCCTCATCACAGACTATCCCCTCTTCAGTCTATCCTGAACTCAGTGGCCAGACTCATCCACCTTACCAACCTCTCCGCATCCACCACCCCCCTCAGGCAATCGGAAGCCAGTGGAGGGAATGACAAACGCATAAAATTCAAACTACTAACATTGACGTACAAAGCTATTCATAATACTGCCCCAAACTTAGATTGTACACTCCTTGAGGGTTAGGGACTGATGTGAATGTACAATATATATGTGTAAAGCGCTGCGTAAATTGACAGCACTATATAAGTACCTGAAATTAAATAACTACCTCACTGACCTGATATCCAAATACCACCCAAAACGCACTCTCCGCTCCTCACAAGACCTCCTACTCTCTAGTTCCCTGGTCTCCTCCTCCCATGCCCGACTCCAGGACTTCTCCAGGTCTTCCCCCATCCTCTGGAACTCACTACCCCAATCCATCAGACTGTCACCTACCCTCCTCACCTTTAGGCGCACCCTGAAAACCCATCTCTTCAGGGAAGCCTACCCCGCCCACACCTAACAGCCAATCTCCTCCACTCCATCCCCCACAGCCATTTCCTCCTGTACCACTATCCCCTCCCTCCTAGATTGTAAGCTCCAAGGATCGGGGCCCTCGTGTATTGGTATTGTTACTGTACTGTCTCATGTACTGTCTCCCACTATAATGTACAGCGCTGAGCAAACTTTTTGGCGCTATATAAATACTGTATAATAATAATGTAACTTGGAACAATCGGACTGTATTTCTGTTTCTGGCAAGTAGAAGTCCATGTCTGTTTACTCCTCACATATCTCATCACTCACTCCTGCCCCAGTACTCACATGGGATACAAGACGCAGGCCAAGTGTCATGTTCGTTTACCATGAGTCAGCACCGCACAGAAACCACATTTTTCTTATCCAATTACCTGAGTTTACTGACCCAAAGTGTATCACATTAGCAGTTAGTGAATCTAGTTCTGATTCTACAAGCAAACATCCTCACTATGGTGTCCTTTTATCAAGTTGTGGTAAATGACTGCTGCTCAGTTCTCTGGCATTCTCGGAGAAAACAGTACTCCTGTGAATGCCTTTTTATGAAGCGGTGGAGATCAGTTCTCCTGAATGAAGGGAGAAGCGATCTACAAACGCTGGAAAACGGCTGCTGTTACTATAATCTCACGAGATTACAGTAAGAGATCAAACGCCGTTTACTAAGCAGCAGTGAATTATCGCTGCTTCGTTTGCGGTTCCTCCGATTCTCCAGCTCTGAGCTGGAGAATCTGGAGGGAGAACACAAATCACCAGCTCCTTCATACACTGGCCATCTGTGTGCTGAGATGATCAGCAGAGAACATGTTCTCCGCAGATCATCTCTGTTTCCTAAACCACTAATTATCGGAGATCAGCAACGATCCTCAGGATCGACGCTGATCTCGGTTTCATAAAAGGACACCTTTATTCGAAGGTTCTGAAACCCGAGCATTCCTTTTAAGACGTGTTGTGTCCAATCAATGGGCTGCAGAAACAAAAATTACCTTTCCCCGGACCAGCACCAGCAGATTTGCTTTGTGCTTGAGCCGAGCCACTGTAGCCTCCTTTGCTGTAATCTGCAGCGGTCGTCCCCTGGGCTAGGTCATCGTAACCTATTGGAAAGGAGACTAATCACATACACATGATGTGGACCAAATCAATGAAGATGGGTGGGGTCAAAGGGAGCTGACCAATAGATTGTTACCTGCACCGTAGCTGTGTTGCCCGTACCCTCCGGCCTGCTGGAAGGGAGTGGACGCCGTGTTTAGGTTTACTCCGTGGGTTTTGGCTGATGCAGGAGGTACCTGGGAAAATGACAACAGGACAATACAATAAATTGGGAGGAGACAGTAACACAGCTTTCTTCTCATGATGTAAAACCAATGTGATCGTTGCTCTTAAAAATACACCTTTGATTTGTTTTACCTATTAAAGTCTGTTTAGGCCACAAAGAAACCACGTAAGCCTTTCCTCTAACCACCTCGCGTCCGTTGTACATAAACAGCCGGACGGTGGCAGTGCAGGGTCGGGTATAAACGGCCTCCCCGCCCCCTATTTGTGCGCACTCCCTTGGAGCGCGCAGCACTGCGATCCGGTGCCCACTGTGTCCTCCGGACACAGTGGAACACCGATCGTCATACAGGACCTCTGTGTGAGGTCCCGATCACATGAAGATTGGCCAATACAGGTAAAAAATGTGCATTTATTATTTTTATCCAAAAGAGCCTGGAAAGCATTGCACCAGTGATCAGTAGATCTCTGATGCCATGCAGGTCTCCTGCAGACCTGTCAGAATATCTGCTTGCTGTACAGAATGTATGAGATGTACTGGATGTACGGTCAAGTAGATATTCTGACAGCAAGCTTCAATGAACCACCACAGAGCTCCGCAGAACCGTGGTAGTCCACTTAAAACTACAAGACAACAGCTGCTAAGGCTGCCGGGACTTGTAGGCACTCATTCACAGAACAGTGTGAATAAGTGACGCGGTCGTATGGGCGGAACCCCCTGCTGCTTTCAAATCTGACAGAGAGTACAGAGAAACGTCTCCCTGTATTATGTCAAAGGGAGGAAGGGCGCCGGCGCTGCTGCAGCTATGGGAACATGTTACATGTTCCACCCTAAAATGGGTGGAACATGTAACATCTTCCCAAAGGTGAACTTATCCTTTAAGCGTCACTTACCTTCATTAGGTAAAAAATTGGGCCTCTTGCTCTCATATGTGCAGTTGATCTGTGTGTTTGCCTGTTTACCTGAAGTTCAGCTTGGAGTAATGCAGGCCATAGACAGGTCATTTATCGGCCTAATTTTCGTCCGCACGAAAAATCAACTGATATTCACGCCATTAGTCGGGCCAGCCCGTCGGCCTTTTTACGCAGATCTTCTCATTTATTTTTATCAGTTATGCTGTAAAATCCACAAAAAACTGACGTTTTTTCGTGGACATTGGTGGCAGCATTGGCAACAGCCCTGGCCCGTCTATGGCCAGCCTAAGAGACCTCCCTTATGAGTTTTTGTTCTTGGGGCCGGATTCATGGAAAGATTTTGATGACTGCTACCCTGCTGTCTGATGAGTGTCTTAATGGCCAGTAATGGCAGCTTCACAGGACTGCCAAATGGCAGTGGGCAGAGCTTAAACATGAATTTAAACAAAGGCCACAGTAACAAAGTGAAATGTATTCATTAAAGGGGCATAAGAGCTTATCTGGGTAATAAAGCTAATAGGGAGCATTTTGTTGGTTGTTTGCTCCTGGACAGGTTCCACAGAGCACAGGATACTTACAAACATGGTGGGGCCATACTGGAAAGCACTCGGTACGCCTGGCACCCCGGCGTAGTAAGGTAAGCCTGTGTAGCTATACCCGGGTGGCAGGGTTGGGTTTAGGAAAGGCTGCTGAGCTGTGTGGTGAGTCTGTGTCTGATTCTGCTGTGGTTGCGCCAACGTCGTGGCAGGGGCCGGAGACGCAGAATCGGCACGGCCAAACTTTGCTACATCACCTGTAATGAGGGGAAAAGGTCAGTAACAGAAAATTCATCCAAACACCTCTGCTTACTACCTACATATAGCAGAACATACAATACAGTAATCATATTCTGTAAAGAAAACCTGTCAAACATGGTGGCTGCAATTGTCAACTTCTGCTTTCAAAAATACCAGTTGCCTGGCTGTCAAACTGCAACACTGAGTCACTGAACGCAAACAAATATGCAGATGCAGACTTATAACTGTCCTGATTACTGTAAACTTTTGCATCAGCACAAAAAGCTCATCTTTCATGTCAGCAGCGTCATCACAGGCTGTGAGGCACAACATGGGACGCTGGCGTCAGGCAAAACACGGGACGCTGGTGTCAGGCACCTTTCTGCAGCAAAGTGAAGCTCCCATTGTACTTCCTCAGAGCAGCCCAATACAGCCAAGAGAGCGGTATTCACAGAAACCAACACTTACTGTTTTATACATCTGTCATAGAACAAAAAGGTTTCAAAGACAAATAGGTGTTCAGAATTGGGCTTTACCTCAGCATACAAAGTGTCTATTCTGAACCATCACTCCAGGGTTCATGACCCCCCCCCCCCCCCAATTTCAGTGTATATCTATAATCAGATATTAAAAAAAAAAAAAAAAAAAAACTCCATGTCCACCTGAGTATGGGTTGCTTGCAAGTCCTCCATCTCTGCCTGTCAGTGTTGCTGGCGCAGGAAATGTGATCCCATAGTAATCCTAAAAATACAAAATAGATTATCCTTCCAGGAAAGACACAACACCTCAACGATGAGTGACCGGAGCCTGGTGAAGGGAACACACATGGAATCAATGTAAACATCATATCACCAGTCGATGCTCTTACTCACCATCGGTAACCTGGACTGAAGCATCTGGAGGTCATCATAGCCATAGATCTGCTTGAAAAAAAGGAGAGAGAGAGAGAGAGAGAGAAAAGGGTCAGAGGACTGAACAAATGAACATAAAACAAATTCCCCCCCCCCCCCCCCCCCCCGGACTAAGCCCTCCCGTCAGTTTGTTCTTTTTTTTGGCTGGGAACATCCACAATGCAAAATGGTGCAAGTGACCATTTTGTCTGTATTGGCAGCTTGTTCAAATGTTGGGATGCCCTAATGCAATACGAGTTCATTACTATACGTCAGCGTGGTCCTAAATTCACCATGACAACCAAGTAACGATCATAAGAAGAGGTCAGCAATTGGAGTGCTGCGTTTTGCAGCACACATTCTTTTAAAGTAAGCTCTATGTAATTCACATCTCCCAGGGACAGGGACACACACACAGATCGGGACACACACACACACACACACACACACCCCCCCCCCACGGACGGACACACACACCCCCCCCCCCCACAGACGGACACACACACCCCCCCCCCACAGACGGACACACACACTCCCCCCCCCCACAGACGGACACACACTCCCCCCCCCCACGGACGGACACACACTCCCACCCCCCCCCCCACGGGACGGACGGACACACACCCCCCCCCCACGGACGGACGGACACACACACCCCCCCACACACACCCCCCCCCCCCACGGACGGACACACACACCCCCCCCCCCCCCCCACGGACGGACACACACCCCACACCCCCCCCCCCCCACGGACGGACACACACACCCCCCCCCCCCCACGGACGGGGACACACCCCCCCCCCCCACGGACGGGGACACACACCCCCCCCCCACGGACGGGGACACACCCCCACGGACGGGGACACACCCCCACGGACGGGGACACACCCCCACGGACGGGGACACACCCCACACACCCCCACGGAAGGGACACCCACCCACACACACCCCCACGGACGGACACACACACACACCCCCACGGACGGACACACACACACACACCCCCACGGACGGACACACACACACCCACTTCCTTGAAGTTAAAAGCAAATTTATTGCTCCAGCACACATATATATACACTCCATCCAGCTCCCTGCTGACATTTCCCCCCCCCCCTCCCCCTTGGGGTCTAGTGAAGAATGACTGCTGCTCAATCAGGCCAAAGCTTTGTGTGCGCAGACATCGCTCATTTCTGCACACATCTGCAGCAGCCACACACCATTCTCCCAATTCCAAGACACGGCTACTGGACTTACTGGGTACGCAGGCAGGAGGCCTCCAGGTCCAACAATGTACTGGTTGTGTAAGAGAGGAGGGACGCCCTGTGGGAGGTTTGGAGGCGCTTTTCCTGGAAAAAGGGAAACAATTCAGATTAGGACTTCAATAGAGAGATCTGACAGATTGTAAACACTAGTGACTTACATGATGCTCGCACCTCATTGTTCTCTATTAGTTTCTTTCATGTCCTTATTTTCTATGTCTCAGGGAAACTCTGGCATTAAAGTCGGCCTTCTCAGTAATGACTAAACAGATATCCTGCTTCCCACCACGGTGACAACCCCAACCGTCTCCCAGATTCAGCAGCAGCTAGAAGTGATTGCACCACCTTCTTGTAACAGTACATAGATATTCCCTGTATCAACTTTCCCTGATTGCCTCTCGGGGGATCAGGAAGGAATGTTTTCCCCTGCAGGAGCAAATTGGATCGCGCTTTGCTGTTTTTTTTTTTCCCTTCCTCTGGATCAACTGTGGGTGTAGGACTATAACTTTTTTTTTAATGGTTGAACTGGATGGACTTTTGTCTTTTTTCAGCCAGACTATGTACAGACCACAAGCGGTCGGTAGAATGAGAACTATGGGCTAGGTTACTGTAATACAGTGCACCAGGTCCTTGCTCATACTGAAGATGGGAGACAGAAGGCTCAATTCACGAAGCCATCACACATGTAGTATTGCCCCAAACTCCAGTCATTTTTTGTGCAGTGACTTATTTTGGCACTCCCTGGCCATCAGTGCTGTCAATGAAAAATACTTGGGGAAAACTATTAGTACACTTGTTATATAGAGATGAGGATAAACTCAGTATTTTAAGCATCTCTCAATGGCATTTTAAAGTGACAGTAACTAGATTAAAAAAAAAATAAAAAAATATATATATACACACACATACACACACACACCTATCGATCCTAACCTTACATATTAAAAATCATTAAAATGTCCACTTTTTGCTGCTGCTGATCAGCCTATGACGACCTTCAGTTTGGACCAGCTGCTCACAGCATGTGTCAATTCTTTCCCTTGTGAGGTAAGGGACTGCAATTTTTACTTCCACTGTTGGTGGATGTCATCACTGGGAATTAAAACACCCCCCCCACTCCATAATAAAAATATTATGCAAAAATCACCTTGTAAAATTAGGATTTTTGGTTTACCTGTAAAATCTATTTCTCGGAATACATCACAGAACACTTCATATTCATGACTACTTGGGTTATGCTGCCACCTTCAGGTGAATGGATACTGGCCACAAAAAGGTACCCCCTGCCAAGGCATAACCCCTGCCAGCTTAGCCAAGCCTCAGTTTTGTAGCAAGCACCAAGAAACACAGAGGGGAGAGATTTCTGTGATGTATGCCAAGAAAAAATTTCCAGGTAAACTAAAACTCCCAAAATATACATCACAGGACAACTCACAATCATGACTACTTGGGATGTCCCAAAGCACTGAACATGATGGATGGGCCCAAAAAGCAGAACAGGGGAGAGTGGGTAGAGAAGACCAGGTATCAGCCTTACAAACGTAAAACAGCAGAAGCTCGATAGTAATCCCCCAGGAAATACTGACATTGCTGATGGAATGGGCTTTGACCAGGAGGAACCTTGCCCTTCATACCACAGGCCGGAGAAATGAACTGATGAATCCACCTAGAATTAGTGAATGTAGAAGTAACCAGACCCTTCTATGGAGATTCTTGCCTTGAGAAGTACACAGATCTTCCAGTCACAAACACCCCTATGTCTTCCCTCAGGTCTTGGTTTTCAATAGCCATGCTGTCAAAACCAGCAACCATAAAGCAGGATGAAAGATCAAACCCTGCAATAGCAAATCTGGCTGAAGAGCCAATTACTCATCTGTCAAAATACATTATATTGCCAAAAAAGCATTAGGACACTGGCCTTTACACACACACACATTAACTTTAATGGCCTCCCAGTCTTAGTCCGTAGGGTTCAATATTGAGTTGGCCCCGCCCTTTGCAGCTATAACAGCTTCAACTCTTCTGGGAAGGCCGTCCACAAGGTTTAGGAGGGTGTCTATGGGAAGGTTGGACCATTCTTCCAGAAGCACATTTGTCAGGTCAGGCACTGATGTCGGGGGAGGAGGCCTGGCTCACAGTCTCCGCTCTAATTTATCCCAACGGTGTTCTATGGGGTTGAGGTCAGGACTCTGTGCAGGCCAGTCAAGTTCCTCCACCCCAAACTCGCGCATCCATGTCTTTATGGACCTTGCTTTGTGCACTGGTGTGCAGTCATGTTGGAACAGGAAGGGGCCATCCCCAAACTCTTCCCACAAAGCTGGGAGCATGAAATCCTCCAAAATGTCTTGGTACCTGACGCCTTAAGAGTTCCCTTCACTGGAACTAGGGGGTCAAGCCCAACCCTTGAAATACAACCTCACACCATAATCCCCCCTCCACCAAACTTTACACTTGGCACAATGCAGTCAGCCAAGTATCGTTCTCCTGGCCACCACCAAACCCAAACACGTCCATCGGATTGCCAGACAGAGAAGCGTGATTGGTCACTCCAGAGAACACATCTCCACTGCTCTAGAGTCTAGTGTTGGCGTGTTTTACACCACGGCATCCGATGCTTTGCATTGCACTTGGTGATGTAAGGCTTGGATGCAGCTGCTCGGCCATGGAAACCCATTCCATGAAGCTCTCTACGCACTGTTGTTGGACTAATCTGAAGGCCACACCAAGTTTGGAGGCCTTTAGATAAGGAAAACTTCTGCGCACTTTAGCATGCGCTGACCCCACTCTGTAATTTTACGTGGCCTACCACTTGGTGGCTGAGTGGCTGTTGTTCCCGGTTGCTTCCATTTTGTTATAATCCCACTAACAGTTGAGCGTGGAATATTTTTTTTAGCCAGGAAATGTCACGGATGGACTTATTGCACAGGTGGCCACCTATCACGGGACCACGCTTGGAGTCACTGAGCTCCTGAGAGCGACCCATTCTTTCACCAATGTTTGTAGAAGCAGTCTGCATGCCTAGGTCCTTGATTTTACACATCTGTGGCCATGGAGGTGGTTTTAAAACCTGAATCCAATGATTTGGAGGTGCTATCAGAATGACCACAGTGTCCTCCACCTTTATTCCATACAAAAGGCGAGGATGAAGCTGAAGTAAAGGGAAGGCATAGATCAGAGAAAACAATCCCAAGGAGTCATCTATAGCAATTGTTTGTTCCCTGGTTCAGGGCAGAAACCTGTCCAGTTTGTTGTATAATCTACATGACAAGAGAGCCACACCTAGCATCCCCAATCACTGACAAATCTCTATGAATGAGAAGGGTTGAAATGTGAAAATCTGCCCAAGACCAGATAAGATCCAAGTCTTCCTGAGCAGTGAGACTTCTTGTCCAATTTTTATGGCTGATGTACGCCACAGCCCAAGCATTGCCGACTGCACCCTAACAGGGAGCCCCCTTTAACCAATTGCCTACTGCGCACTTTCACCCCTTCATCCAGCCCAGGCCGATTTTCAGTTTTCACAGCAGTCGCACTTTGAATGACAATTGCGCGGTCATGCAACACTGTAGCCAAATCACTGATTGGCACTGTCAGGCGGCAATGATGGGCACTGATAGGTGGCACTAATTAGCACTGAAGGGTGGCACTAATGGGCATTGACAGTCATCACTAATGGGCACTGAAAAGCAGCACTGATGATCAGTGCCCTGATTGTCAATGTAGATGTCCCCTCTGAGGAATGCCGCTTCTCCTCTCTTCACATGTCAGCGTGAGGAGAGGACTGCCAATAACCGACATTTCCTGTTTACATGTGATCAGCTGTGATTGGACACAGATGATCACATGATACAGTCGGTCATTGACTCTTTACCACGATCGGTGAACCGCTGTGTCCAAAGGGCACACCGCACCACCGATCAGTGCGCAAGCGCAGCTAGAGTGGGAGGACGTCTTATGATGTCCTCCCAGAACAAGAGAGCTCCCGCTCTCATCCGTCATTTCCCTATACAGCGGGCGGGAGTTGGTTAAGCAGAAACACTGGCGTAGGACAGGCAGCCAAATTGCCCAAATTTTCAAGATGTTGGTCAGCAACTTCCACTTCTTTATTGACCACCTTCCCTGAACTGAAAGGTTCTTCACCTACCTCCCCAGCCTGACAGACTGGCATCTGTCGTAAAGACCTTCCACTTTTTCAGAAGGAAGGCTTTCTGGGTATCCGGCATGTGAGGATAGCCCCCTTTCAAGAGCCGATCTGGTCTTAGGAGTTCGATGTATGGGATGTTTGCCCCATATGGACAGAGTTTTGGAATGAAACTGGGCATAGGGGTCTGCACTGAAGCCAACTACCAGTCCAATCAAGGGACTTTCTAGCAAGCTTACACTCCACCTGGGATCAGACATTCCCACTGCAGAAGCAGCACTTTTGCCTTTTATGTGTCTAGGATTAAGCCAAAACACTCCTGATGTTGCGTCAGAGCCAGAGCAGACTTCTGAAGGTTCAGCACTGACCTGTCACCTTAAGGGGTAAGAGCGTGTTTCAACCCGGTCACCTTCTAGATGATGGTATCCAAGGATGGTCCAAACAAGGGTTTGCACTCAAAGGACAGCTTCTTGCAGAAATGTTCCACTGACCAACACTTGTGCCATAGTCCTCATGTGGACAAGTGTGGTGCCTACCTTTGAAAGCTGCCGTATGGAATTTTCCAAGGCATCTAATGAGAAACTCCTAGTTTTTGAAAAAATCTTCCAGAAACCACCAAAGATCCTCCAACGCTTTGCCCAAATTTTAAGGGTGTGCAAACTCCCATTGCTGCCTGCAAAATCGCTCCCACTTGAGAAAAGTCATCTTTACCAGAGGGCCTCTAATGTCCTATTCATGATGTCTTTTAAAGACCAGGACCATGTCCATCAGGACCAATCATGGTTTTATGCTAGTAGGGAATGGCCGGGTCAACAGCCAGAGAACCATATTTCTAGTAGAATTTCTCCTCCATGGAGTGCTGTTTACAAAAGGCTTGGTTAACACCTATGCTTTTTATCAGTTTTTTTAATGTTTTTTGCATTGTGGTTTGCGTTTTTACCGTGTTTTTTTTTTCAGATTTCTTACATTCAAGTGGAAAATGTTTTATTGCTGGACAGGAAGCCGCCCCCACAAAACATGGCAAAAAAGCACTCCATGCATTTCAGTAGCTTTTCCATTGAACTCTACTGTAGAAAAAAACATTGCTGTGTGCGTTTAAGAAAGTCCCTGACCCTTTCCAAAAACGCAGCAGAGCTCAGAAAAGCATAGATGTCAACGTGTCCCATAGGAAACCATGTTAAATGGACTGTAGTGTATTTCTGCAAAAAGCATTAAAAAAGGCACTGGTGTGAACCCGGGGAAAATGCTTTGGCGATGAAAACACCTTCACCAGATGAGCTTGAATGGCATACATCACTTACTGCAAGTGATGGTGCACTGGGAAGGACTCGGGATGTTTCGGCAGCTGCCTGGACTGGGCAGGAATTCCTGCGTTTTTAGCTGGTGTCTATTCCCCTGAAGATGGCAGCATAACACAAGTAGTGGTAATAATGAAGTCTTCTGCGTCCTGAGATGTATGAAAACCTCTACTTCATGTTGCTGTCACGGAACTCCAGAACACAGTAGTGATGATGGGGAGGGTGTCATTCAAGAGCATGTACAGCAGGAGAATAATTATTTACATTCTCCTCGTAAACAAATTTACCATTTTAGATTTTCAAGAAAGTAGCAGCACCTTCAACAGGTTTTTAACGTCAATGCATGCAGGCCCCCAACACAAATTTTTCCATTACCGTCCATTATATTCACCACATATTGTTCCCTTAACCCACTTCATGTCCGGACAGTTTACCCCCTTCCTGTCCAGGACAATTTTCAGCTTTCAGCGCTATCACACTTTGAGTGACAATTGCGCGGTCATGCAACACTGTACCCTTATTAATTTTTTAGCATTTTTTTTTTTAGACAGATAAAACTTTATTTTGGTGGTATTTATTCACCACTGGGATTTTTTATTTTTTTTTGCTATGTAAATGAAAAAGTCCAAAATTTAAAAAAAAAGTGTTTTTCTTATAAAATTGTGCAAACAAATATTTCATCATAAATCTTGGCCACAATTTATTCCGTTATCTTTTTAGTACAAAAAAAATACCCAAATTAGTTTATAACCAAAAATTATACAATTTTTAAACTTTTTTTTACATTTTTATTTTTTTTTTATATTATTTATGTTTTTTTTTTTTTACATACTGTCACCCTAGCAGTACAGTGTCACCATGGTGACATTGTACTACTTCTGGGGGGGTGATGAAGTTTTTTTTTTTTTTTTTAATTACACGGATTGCTTTTACAGCCTTTATGGGTGTAAAAGAAATCATTTCTCTTCTCTGGCTGCATTCTTGCACCCATTGAGAACTACTATGTGAGCTGTGATTGGTCACAGCTTGTCACATAGTACAAGACTGTTGTGAATAGCCCTGTACCATGTGACCTCTGGGATCATTCACAGATTTCACACATAGTAAGCAATGATATCACAAGTGACATCTTGCTTACTACTCTGCATGTGATCACTAATTGGCCAATCAGTGATCACATGATCGAGACCTTGCACAGAGGTCCTGTACGACTATCGGGTTTCCACTGTGTCCGGAGGACACATCGGGCACCGGATCGCGGTGCTGCAAGGTCCCAGGGAGCGCACACAAGCAGGGGGCGGGGAGCCTGTTTATAAACGGCCACCCACCCCTACACTGCCACCGTCTGGCCGTTTATATACAACGGCCAGACAGGAGGTGGTTAACAACATCCATAACCCTAGACGCTTTCGGCTCACCCTTGTGTTGCACCTCTTGCCCAGCGTCAACACTAGAGATGTAAAATATCCAAAATATTTTGAAGTCATGAGAAAAAAAATAAATAAATAAATTTTACATAAAGTCTCAGAAATCTTTCAAGGTCTTCATGTAATATATACAGTGCCTTGAAAGTCTTCCTCCCCCTTGAAATTTTCCACATTTTGATATGTTACAACCAAAAACATAATTGTGTTTTATTGGGATTTGAGGTGATAGACCAACACAAAGTGGAACATAATTGGAAGGAAAATGAGAAATGGTTTTCAACATTTTTTTACAAATAAATCTGTGTGGTGGCATTTGTATTCAGCCCCCCCCCGGAGTCAATACTTTGCAGGACCCTCTTTGGCTGCAAATCCAGCTGCAAATCTTTTTGGGGATGTCTCTACCAGCTTTGAACATCTACAGAGGGACATTTCTGCCTATTCTTCTCAAACTCTGTTTTTGGTTTTAACATGACAAAAGGTGGAAAATTTCAAGGGGTATGAATACTTTTTCAAGGCACTGTGGAATATGTTGTTTCACAACGATAAATATACAATCTTTTTTTTTTAATTTTTCCTGGGGGGAGGGGAAAAAAAAAAAAAAATTGGCTATGGAAAGGCCTTCCCATCTATAGTCAACACGAGCCTTAATTACTTGTTTGCATTACATTCTTTAGCGTACTCTCCTCCATATCATGTTCTCAAATAATCTGCTCCCCTGCGCAGATTTAATTAGAACTTAAAGGATAAGTTCACCTTTTATAACATGTTACGTTACACCTGTATTCAGGGGGTAATATGTTACTGCTGTTCTAGGTCTTAGGTCAGGGGTCAAGGGTAGGCAACCTGCGGCTCTCTAGCTGTTGTAGGACTACAAGTTCCATCATGCCTCTGCAAGTCATAGCTGTAACTATCAGTTTTGTAATGTTGAAATGCCTCATGGGAAATGTAGTTCCACAACAGCTAGAGAGCCACAGGTTGCCTACCCCTGGCTTAGGTAGTTCATGGATGCTTCCTGTCCGTGTGCACCTGCCTGCCCGTACAATGTGTGAGCAGACAATTTACACTGACAGCCTGCAGGATACCTGCATTGCACAATTGCTCCCAATAAAAAATAAACTAAAATAAATAAATGCAGATTTTTACCTGCAAAAAGGTGTGATTTTATTTATTTTTAAAAGTGAACTTAACCTTTAACCCACAACTAAAATTTTCTTCTGGTATTGATGCACCGAAGGAGTTACTGAAACCTGTCAGATAAGATTGGCTTTTATTGATGACCATACCTGGCTCCTCATTCTTGCTCTCAGCACTGTATTTTTTTTTCTAGACATATCCTCAGCCAAATCAATACAAGCATCAAACCCGCTATAGTAAAGCAGTTGCGCAATATAACAGGTGTATGATAGAAGGGCATTAGCTTGGCGCTCACCTGAAGACACTAACGGAGCGGTCCGAGTGGTAGCGGCAGGCACACTTACACTGGGCACACTCAGGCCTAAACTGTTAGTAGTATTCATACTGCTGGCCATACTGACAACCGAAGAGGTGGTGCTTGTGGCCGACGTTGGCGCTGTTGAGAAGGTTGTGCTAGGCTAGGCTGGAGCGTGACCGTGCTCTCCACACTTGTGTGCTGAACAGAAAAAAAAAAATCCATTAGATTACAGGAATTACTGGACTATTAAATTTTACTTTGACAAGAAAACTGATTGGACGTTTTATATTTGTGTGTCACTACTGCACCTTACGCGTCATATTAACCTCCTTGGCGGTATGATTCTTTCCGATTTTTGGTGCTGAAAGCGGTACCATTTTTTGCATGGAAATATGTAGTTTTTTTTATTGTAGGCTGTAATTTTTAGGAATAACTCACTGAAATCTGTCCGAACAAGAGTCTAGTAAACATCCCGGGTAGGATAAAATTTGAAACACACGAAATCATAAATTATAATTTAATAAATACTCTTAAAAAATAATAATATAATAATAATACATTTAATTCAATAATATAATCAAACCAAAAACACTGAAATGTGAAATATAGCGCCAAGTTCGCACATTGCTGAGCTCAGTCGCAGAATCGTTTTCAGTGTCTGATGACGAATTTCCCCCACCAATCATTATCACTCAATTCTGCAAGTGGTTCTGATTTACTATCGCTGTTCTCTAGCCGGTCTAAAACCGCTTTTGACCTAAAAGGGACGCTTTTTGGACGCCATGGACTTTTCTAAGTTTCCAGGCAGAAAGAACAATCAAAATGCAGACAGGGCGCCGGACAAAGCACTTGGGACAAAATGTATGTGAAATGGGTTGAAACAGCAATGTTATACTATGTAAAATCGTTTTGAAAAAAATTACATTTTTTTATATTTTCAAATTTCCCGCCGCCGGCGGCACCTGTACGTCCCGACATCACATGGACCGGAACACAGGAGCCGGATGTCGGCATCAGCCAGAGGAGATGGCCGGGGACGCTGCAGGGGACACATCGCGGGAGCAAAGGACAAGGTAAGTGCTGCAGGGACTCCCTATACAGCGCTGCAGGGTATTCCCGAGTGTAGCTCAGGGTTACCGCTTTTGGTACAGACATTTTACCCCGAGCTACACTCGGGAATACCGTTAGGGAGGTTAAGATGCTACCTTACCCGGATATCCTTAGCGCTCCACAGCGCACCTTTGTTATGTCTATTAACTATTAATTATCATATCTATTAGCGCTGCATTTTACTATTATTGATGTGTACAAGGATTTGAGGTTTGATCTTGATGCTAGCAGCTTATTCATTTACCTAGCGCTCGTTTAATTCACTACTACTTTCTATTGCATATACAGACTGATTGTACTGTTGTGGGTTTACTAACACTTTCAGGTAGTGTGGCTTCCGAACAGGGGTGCTCAATGAAGACTGCTAAAACACGGGCAGAGGTAGATATCAGGTCAGGAATACTACATTCAGGGGGGATGTGGCTATGTCTTAAGGGGCAAGCTGTACAGTTGATTTGATACAGTGAAAGAAACTGAATAATAGCTAAGATTATGAAACCATAACAAAAAAAGTATAGTGGAACATTCATTTATAATGACAAATTTGTAATTTATGTTCATAAAAAAGACAGCACATCATAATGGTAAAATTTGTAAGTTGCAGAGACAAGTGAAAATGTGTATTCAAATTCTTGTAGAAGCAGTCAATGACTGAATGGCGTTTTTTCTTTAAACTTTAGCTTGGTTTAAAAAAAAAAAAAAAAAATCAAACACTCCAGATAATACATTACAAACTGCTTAAAGAATAAGCTCAGCTTTTTAAAAAAAAACAAAAAAAAAACAGCCCAGATGCTTGCTTACTGGTCCATAGCAGCAGCGGCCTTTTCCCCCATTTATATCCCCGGGTCTGAAATTTTCCCCTGCACTGGCTGAGAGTGCACAGAGACCCCTCAACAGACATGAATGGGGCCGTAAGTTAAAGAGTATGTAAACCCAAAATTTCATATTCCTGATATGTTTCTTGTCTTCCCCCCCCAGCCCGGACACCACCCCCCATTGACTTCTCCATCATCCAACAACGCCACCATCAAACCCGCCCCGCAGGCCAGAGTACTTGGTGTCATTCTGGACTCCAACCTATCCTTCCAGCCCCAAGTCCAATCTTTAACAAACTCGAGCAGACTCCACCTCCGCAACATCGCCAAAATCCGCACGTTCCTAACCCCAGAAACCACTAAACAGCTCATCCACTCCCTCATCATATCACGACTCGACTACTGCAACTCCCTCCTCACTGGCCTGCCTCGCCGCTGGCTATCCCTGCTTCAGTCCATCCTGAATACGGCTGCCAGACTCATTCACCTTTCCAACCGCTCCATCTCCGCCACCCCCCCCTGCCAATCCCTCCACTGGCCTCCACCCCCCTCTGCCAATTCCCTCCACTGGCCTCCACCCCCCCTCTGCCAATCCCTCCACTGGCTTCCGATTGCGCAACGGATCAAATTCAAAATCCTAACACTGACGTACAAAGCCGTCCACCATACTGCCCCGAACTACATCACCGACCTAATATCCAAGTACCACCCAACATGCACACTCCGCTCCTCACAAGACCTCCTTCTCTCTAGTTCCCTGGTCTCCTCCTCCCATGCCCGCCTCCAGGACTTCTCCAGGGTGTCACCCATCCTCTGGGACTCCCTGCCCCAATCCATCAGATTATCACCTACTCTCCTCTCCTTTAGGCGCACCCTGAAAACCCACCTCTTCAGGGAAGCCTACCCCACCCCCTGCTAACTTGCCGACCTCCTCCACTCTTCCTACCACTCCATCCCCCACAGCTATCTCCTCCTGTGCCACCATCCCCTCCCTCCTAGATTGTAAGCTCGAAAGAGCAGGGCCCTTGATCCCCTCATGTTTTGCATTGTATTGTTATTGTTCTGTCACATGTTCTGTCCCCCTTTGTAATGTACAGCGCTGAGCGAACTATCGGCGCTTTATAAATACTGTATAATAATAATAATATGTGCTTGCAGTACCATGTACTTGTATGAAAGTATCCTGTTCTGTTTATATTGCTTTTTTTGTGTGAAATCCCTGGTGTTCCTGCCAGTCCCTCTGCTTTCCTATTAAAAACTGACCATACCAAGCATGAGAGCACAGTGTGGTCAGTTCTCTAGCTCTGCTGGGAACTCAGCCTGCTCTCCTCCAATGATCAGACCTGTCCTAACACCCCCCCTGCACAGCCTGGGAAGTGAAGTTCAGTGTAATGCTGTTTCTCCTCCCACAGTTCTTTGTTCTCAGTTGCATAAGGAGCTTAGAGGGAATGTGATAAAAGGGGGGGAAAAAGGTATTTAAAATGTTTTTTGTTTTATCTATACACAAATGTTTTGCCTTTCATTTCGATTTTAAACTGAATGGATCGTTTTACAAGATGAGGGTTTACACATACATTCAGGCTGGGCTCGCAGCGTTTTCTGTGTGATTTCCGCACCATATCAGAATTATTATTACTATTATACAGGATTTCTATAGCGCCAACAGTTTGCTCAGCGCTTTACAAAATGAAGGTAGACATTACAGTTACAATACAATTTGGTACAAGAGGAAACAGAGCCCTGCTTGTTAGAGCTTACAATCTAGGAGAATAGCACCCCGTTCATGGGAACCGATGTGGGTGTGTATGTTAACAACACCCCGAAATCGGTCTGCAAAAAGCGGTGCGATGTGCAGAATCTGATCGCATAGGTGTGAATAACCATGCGATCCAATTCTAGTGTGGACCCAAAAAGAGTCCTGCACTTTTTTGGTGCGGCGTGATTGGAGCCGTACATAATATATGGCTCCAATCGCACCGCACACACATAGCATGTGATTTGCAGTTCCAGTTCCTCATGCGATGTACCAAACCGCATTAGTATGAACCTAGCCTCAAGACACACAGCCCTGCTCAAGTCTATGGGAGTCACTGCACACCAACAGCCAAATCTGAGGAAGAATTCAGACCAGAGGTGTAAACACTGAAGGAGGACATTTCTGTCATGTAAGAGGGGTCCTTGGACGGTGGGTCTTTGGTTAGAGGACTAAGGCCGGCCATACATGGGTTGAAATTCAACTGATTTTTCCTCCGAAAATTGACCGAAGAATAATCGGCCGATTTTCGCTCTGTTAATGGGTCAATAGCAATGGCCGATTTTCATGGTTCCTCCCCTTTTCAGCGATCGGGCATGTTGGAAAATTTGTGAAAAACGACCGATTTTTTACTCAATGATGGTCAAATCGCACAATCGTTTTTCCGAAAATAATATGTGCATGAGCTTGACCTGGAAGGAACAGAAGTTTCACCTGTTATATGGGGTGAACGTTATGCCTTGGTTGGCCGATTTTCGAAATCATTGTTTGCGCCATCGGATTACGAGCGAACGACGTTTTAGATTTTCGGATGAAAAATCATTCAGAATTCGAACCATGTATTGCATAAGGAGGGTGGGTTGTTTAGTAAAACAGAACATGTCCTTCAGCAGCAACATTATGACATTTATCTATTTTGAACAATACTGGAGTTCAGGATGTGTCATAGAATGAAAAGCCCTTTAAGAAAACAATCTTGACATCGGGAGGTTTTAAAAAGGTCGGAATGAAGTAATAAATGAAATCCTTACCGTATGGGAAACTGCTGAGGACAGTACTGATGCTGCAGGAAGGCTGTTCTGGTGCCCAGACAAAGTGCTAGGGAGGGGAAAAAAAAAAACAAAAAATGGGTAAGTGCCAGGATAACACAAGGAATGGTCCCTCAAATGTGTGAAAGCTTCAGTACAGGTCAAGACTCCGTGACAATGATGCATCATACGGGGGTCAGATAAGTGCTTGGATACAAAAAACCCACCACAGTCTGTAGAACGTGTGAAAGCTGGAGACAAAGTCAGCAACAGAGAATTCAAGCTTAACTTCATGCTTAATCTCGGTCCTCTACTTCAGTCTTGGAACTTGTGCATCTTATAGACACACCATGTACTCGGCTGACAACTAGATACCCAGATCTCTTTCAATGGTCTGACTAAACTGGCACAATGGATTTCCTGCATGCACAAGGCCTGTATTATAGGGACATCGGATCAGCTCTTTTTTTTATGATGCAAGTATGTTTTGCCTCAGGTTTCATCCATCAGATCCACAAAATATACCAACATTGCAGTCTGATGGTAAGACGGAATACAATTTTATTGGACTGGATTTGCCAGCCTTGTCTGTTTTTAATAGATCTGAAAGGTATTTGACAAGCTTGGGACTCCTGGCTATGATTTAACCACTTCCCGTCCGGCCGCTGTATATAAACGGCCGGACGGGGACAGTGCAGGGGCGGGTTGCCGTTCATGTCCGGAGGACACAGCAGAACACCGATCGCTGTACGGGACCTCTGTGTGAGGTCCTGATCATGTGATCACTGATTGGCCAATCATTGATCACATGAATAGGTGTAAGCAAGATGTCACTTCTGACATCATTGCTTACGAGTGAAATCTGTGAATGATCACAGAGGTCACATGGTACAGGGCTATTCACAACAGCCTTGTACCATGTGACAAGCTGTGACCAATCACAGCTCACACAGTATTTCTCAATGGCTCAAGAATGCAGCCAGAGAGAAGGAGAAATGATTGCTTTGACAGCCTTTATGGGTGTAAAAGCAGTGAAAAAAAAAATCATCACCCCCCACAAGTAATACAGTGTTACTATGGTGACACTGTACTGCTAGGGTGACAGTATGTCAAAAAATATAAAAAATAAAAACGTAAAAAAGTTTTTGAAAACTTATAATTTTTGGTTATTAACTAATTTGGGTTATTTTTTTTTTACTAAAAAGATAACTGAATAATTTTGGCCAAGATTTATGAAGAAAGATTATTTCTTTTAAATTTTTAAACGTATTCATTTATATAGCAAAAAAATAAATAAAAATCCCAGTGGTGAATAAATACCACCAAAATAAAGTTTTATTTGTCTCAAAAAAAATGCTAAAAATGTCATATGGGTACAGCGTTGCATGACCGTGCAATTGTCATTCAAAGTGCAATAGCGCTGAAAGCTGAAAATTGGCCTGGACTGGAAGGGGGTGAAAGTGTCCGGACTGGAAGTGGTTGAACATTAAGGATAGGATCTACCGTATTTTCCGGCGTATAAGACGACTTTTTAACCCCTGGAAATCTTCTACAAAGTCGGGGGTCGTCTTATACGCCGGGTGCTGGGCTGAAACCTTACCGTACTTCCGTGCTGACGCTTCTGCGCATGTCTTCGGCAGCAGTAGACGATCGCGGATCACCATAGCTCGCAGAACTGCATGAGACGTCGGATTGAGCTTGACTGAAACTGTGATATGCAGAGAAGGGATACACATCGGGTAGCGGCTTCTGCGCATGTCACAGTTTCAGTCACGATCAATCGAGCACTGAACGGCTGCATCCGACGTCTCATGCAGTTCTGCGAGGAATGGTGATCAGCGATCGTCTACTGCTGCCGAAGACATGCGCAGAAGCGTCAGCTCGGAAGTACCGGTATGGTACTGCTGCATCCGACCTTGTCCCCTTCATTTCGGTAATTAATTATTAATATTATAATGTGGCAGTTTTGTGCAATTTATGGTACCGCTCGGATCAGGGAGAGCTGACCCACCCAATCCAAGCAGGCTTTGTATGCAGTGTGCACAGAAAATACTGGTACATCGCTTGCCGTGATTGGTTGGAAGAGGGGTAGTCTTATACGGCGAGTATAGCCCAAACCCTCTATTTTAACAGGAAAAGTAGGGGGGTCGTCTTATACGCCGGAAAATACTGAATGGACTGCTTAGGTGGGCCTTAGCCCGATATATAGCACATGTTACGAATTGTCCTGCCCTCTCACAGACCCAAGCCCTCCCACCCGATTACCAACCCTGAAAATGTTCCCGTTGCTTTTCCACAAACCACAAAAATAAAAAATGTCTCTCACCTGTTAAGCTGTGAAAGGGAGCTATTTGAGAGGTCACTGGGCTGCGGCAAGTTAGACAGAGACACAGCTGACGTGTGCTGAGACGCAGGAGGAAGGAGAGACGATGTGGTGGAGGGTGGACTGGATAGAGACCCTACAGACGTCAGGCTCTGGGAATTCTCAGACTTCGCCGACGGGACGGAAGGAGTGGCTGTGTACAGAAGAGAGACTCTCAGACCTAATATTTTAGGGTTGTAACTAAAATCTCCATCTTGCATCATTTTTAGTATAGACACATTCTCACCAAAACAAAATTTAGAAGTATTTAGAGAGGACACCTGTTTTGGGGACAAGTGTCCAAAGAGGGGATGTAGTATCATTTTGGTGCAATTTCTGCTCAGTTCCTGTTTTTTTTTTTTTTTTTTTTTTTTTTTTTAAGAGTGGAAGTTAAGGAAAATCTCCCCAACAAGACCCAAACAAAAAACCTCACAGTGCTTTTGACCTATCACACTCTGCTCGCTTGCAATCAGTCTGTGCATTGCCTTCATTCCTCTATCCAAGTTCATGATAATGCATGGCAAACATATCTCAAATGCCCCGAACCTTTTTTTTCAATTATGGTTAAGAGAAATTTTCAATGTGCTTTACATTTTGACAAAGTTACCTCCCAAACAAAACTGAGGTCCACGTGCCTCTCTCCTGCACTGCAAAGCAATACGGCACATTCAATAGTCTATGGGTCAGGACGATACAGAATGCAACCAAGATCTGCTTAATTAACCCTTTGGCGCCAGCACCTCCCGGCCCTTTAAGGGTTTCAGAAGCCGGGAGGCGGGGTTTCGGATCACATGATTGGGAAAGGTCCCGATAGAAGGAGGAGACCAGACGTGTGCTGGGAGCGTGCGCTCTCAGCACATTTTTTGTTTAACAGAACGCAAATGTGCGGCCGTTCAGTGTCTAAGCCCAGACGCTGGGAGGCCGCACATTTGCGTTCGGCCGGCGTGAAGAGGTTAAACTAGGGGCACTCAGGGGAAAAAAGGAAAGTATAAGTGCAAGCTCCTACAGGTGCCTGCTGTATAGTCTGGGGACGGTCTGAAACAGCTGAAGACCCCACCATACACACCTAAAGCGGTTCTAAAGGCTCGAGGGTTTTTTACCTTCATGCATTCTCCTGACTGAGACAGCAAGCGGGAGCCATTCATTCTGTCAATCATAGCCAGTCAGCCAATGAGGAGAGAGCGGAGGGTGGGACCAAGCCGCAGCTCCATGTGTGAATGGACACACGGAGCAGTGGGTTCCCCCATAGCAAGCTGCTTGCTGTGGGGCAGCCGATAGATAGGAGGAGCCAGGAGAGCCTGCGGGGGACCCGAGAAGAGGATCCAGGCTGCTCTGTGAAAGACCACTGCACACAGCAGGTAAGTATAGACATGTTTGTTATTTTACAAAAAAAATTAAAAAATTAACCTTTAGAATCGCTTTAAACCATTTAGGGAAACCAAGTCCAAGCTGTACATGAAAGTATGAACCTATAACAGAGTCAATTAGTACTTTGCCTGTGTCCTATACAATTAAGATATTAGGATTTTGTGCTTACGTAAAATAATTTCTTGGAGAACATCAAAAGATACACCGGAGATAATAATCGTGAATACTTGGACTTTGCTGCCACATTCAGGAGAATGGATGCTGGCCCAAAAAAAGGCAGTCATTACAGGACGTCCCCACTCATGCATGCAGGATCAGGGTACTGTACCTCTTGGCCTGCTGGCCGTAATGATCTACATGGAGCCCACCTCTGCCCTAGTAGGGAGCAGGCCAGAAGATGAAACAGCGAAAACTCAAAAAAAGAATGGATCTTTTCCATCATCTTCAGACACTAGCACAAAGAGGCCTGGCCAAGCTAGGAGGGGCCACTCCTGTGATGGTGAAAGTGACCAGCAACAGCTAGGAGGGACCCTTTGCAACGTCCTAGCAACCAAGCAGGACGGGGGATGATGCATTCTCTGGGAGTTTTTCAGACAGCCTTCCTGTGGTACGTAAATGGCCTACACCTATAGCAAGGACATTATTCGACTCTGGTCAAAGCTGCACAGTTTGTTTTCATCTATAAACACTCCTTGCCAGTTTTTTTTGGTAAAGGTGAATTATGCCTTTAAAGTCATTCAACATATCAGGGCAAGGTAGAGCCCTTCTGTTCAAACAGAAAACACTGAATACTCCAGTCTACGGAGTGATGGCGATACACAACACAGTAATCATTCCATTGATACAAGAAAAAAAAAATGTTTAGAGATGGCCGATTCCAGGAAGTGCTTACATACAAGACATCTGGCCTGTCCTTACATAAATTGAAATCTTGTAAAATTTTGGCAGGAGCGAGGCTGATGAGTGCCAGTTCTGTTTATAGAGATTATGCAACAGATACAGTTTACAGAGGATTATGAGCTCTGGGACTGGCATAAGACTCAGTGTGTGGTTGTCTGCACAATAATTAAGATATGTGCTTGGATTGCAGCATCATCGTCTTCTACCAGATCTTGCTTGACAAGCCAACTTTGGTGGGGGGATCCGTGATGCATGCCACAGGGAGAAAGCAAAGGCCAGAGACATAACATTCCTGCACTGGTCAATCAGCCCCGGTACAAACAGGAGGTGGTTATAGGAGCACAGCTGATATATATTGCAGACTTACTGTTCAAAGACACTTGTGCCCGAATTCCATTGTGTCCATTCTAAAGAAAAAAAAGAAAGGAAAACAAAAAGCGGCAAAATTATGCACCATTCAAAAGTTGCACTGAAACACCATTTGTGATCAGAGGTCAATGAAACCTAGATGCTCAGGCCCAAACTTAGCAATGTCATTATGCATAGTGTGACGGACAGCAGATATATTATTTTATTTTTGTGTTGTTTTGTTAACACTTGTGGTCAACAGTCAACTTGTCTGCTTTGTTTATAATTTGAAGTTCCTGTGCCCCGCAGGGGGTGGGAGGTGAGAGTTATCTCAGTAGGGAGCGCAGACCTCATGGTGTCTTATGGCTGTGAAAAGTCAGATGTGTTGGCACCGGGAGCTTGGGGCTTGGTCAATTGAAAGGGCCATATACTGTCCCTATGTGGGGAGAAAGACTCTTTCAATGGGAGAGCTTGAGTCAGGATGGACAGAGCCATTCATGCCTGAGACCTAACTTCGAGATGCATTGAACTGTGCTTTGCTTTGTGCACTGCTGGGACTTGTGGTCCTATATTGCCTGTGTAGTCTTGAAGCTGCGGCCAAGACACACAGCTCTCTGAAGACCCATGAGGAGTTGGTGCCTATCTGCCTAGACTTCCTCTGCTGAGATCACTGCTGGCTGGTGAGTCCCTGGATCGCTACCCTGTGAACTGCCATCTTCTGAGTGCCCGGACCTCTTGCCTGCCAGAGCTGCCTTCTGCTGTGTGCCCTGATTACCCTGCCTGCCAGAGCTGCCTTCTGCTTCGGGCCTTGATTACCCTGCCTGCCAGAGCTGCCTCCTGCTGTGTGCCCCGATTACCCTGCCTGCTACTTTTTTTTTCCCTGCAGGAGCAAATTGGATCGTGCTTTGCTGGGGTTTTTTTTTGCCTTCAGTTGGATCAACTGCTGGTTTAGGATTATAACTTTTTTTTTTTTTTTTTTAATGGTTGAACTTTTGTCTTTTTTCAGCCAGACTATGTAACTTAAAGCGGAGCTCCACCCAAAAGGGGAATTTCCGCTGTAAGGACTGCTCCCCATTAAGGACTGCTCCCCATTAAGGATTGGCACTTTCGGGGGGAGTGGGTACCCGAATTTGACAGGTACCCGCTCCCACTTTCGGTCCGATCGGAAGCAGAAGGTGTCCTCCCTCCCTCCCTCTCTGTAGTCTTATGGGACATGTGACGGGTCCCAGAAGACTACAGGACCATTAATGAAGCGCAGCGCTACTCGCATATGCTCAGTGGGTACCCGGCTGTGAAGCCGCAAGCTCTCACAGCCAGGTGCCCACACTGAAGGTGCTGGCTTCCTGGAATACAGGACGGCCGGTGAAACAGACTGAGAGGGACACCCCACGGGACAGGTAAGTGGCTGTTTTTTTTCAAAAGTCATCAGCTACAGTTTTTGTAGAGTGAGTGGAACCTGAAAACCTAACACAAGAATTTAATTCAGTACACAATTTTACTAAGAAACGTACTGTGTTTTTTATTTTATAATATAGACCGACAAGTGTTCAAAACTGTAAAACGTATTTAAAATCTTTACTTTTAATATTATAATTATACCAGACAGGTACAGTGTTAAAAAAATAAAAAAAAGTATACTAGCATCTACAGGTTGCAGGGTCTTTTGCAAGCTGAAACCATTTTTGTTCCTGAATAAAGCCTTCAGCCTGCATGTGATGATCGTTGACAAAGCGAATGTATGATTGGGAAGCATTCTGATTTGTTCCACATTGTTTGTGGGGACCAGAGAAAGCCCGCTTTGACAACTAGAAGACCCAAAGTTGATGGTTAGCAGCCATCAGGTAATGTTACATAGTAACATAGCTTGGCTGAAAAAAGACAGAAGTCCATCCAGTTCAACCATTAAAAAAAAAAAGTTATAAGCCTACACCCATAATTGATCCAGAGGAAGGCAAAAAAAAAAAACAAAAAACACAAAAAAAAAAACCCACCAGCAAAGCACGATCCAATTTGCTCCTGCTGGGAAAAAAATTCCTTCCTGATCCTCCGAGAGGCAATGGGATATCCCCTGGATCAACTTTACCTATAAATGTTATATCCAGTTATATTCTGTGTATCTAAAAAAGAATCCAGGACTTTCCTACAGCAATCCACTGAGCTGGCCACAACCAACTGTTATTGTGGATTAATATATCCTCACTATGGGGTATCCAGAGGCGTTAGAGGGAGAATCTTACTGATTGCTGTGAGCAATAGGAGCCTTTTTTCATATGTTGACATTGATGACTTCATATGTTCAAGGAGTGCACCCTGTACTCACCGTGACCGGAACCACTTCGCTGGCTGTCATGGAGCTTTGGTAACCTATTCTGCTGTGCACAGACGTCTGGTCGTAGGAGGAAGAGGAAGATGAGGAGATGGTGACTGGACTGGCACTCTGAGAAGAGCTGTTGTGGCTGGAAGTGGTGATTACAGACGCCGTATAGCTTGGCTCCTGCACAGTACTGGATATTGGCAGCGAGGTGTTTAGAGATTCACTGCAAAATATACATCAGATGTGTGAATAAAGAATCAGTTCCTTGAAGGACAACTGCGTTATAACAAATTAAAAAAAAAAACATATGGAAAAACTACATGATTTGCAGGTGTGAAAGAGATGACGTTTCGTATTGAAAGCGGAAGTGATGCAACATTCTTTTTCTTCCGTTGTGTGATGAGACACCTAGCTACCAGGTGGGAAGTAGGGATGCATCGAAATTCCGGTGGCCGAAAACTCCCCTTTCGGCTGTCAGCCAAAATGAAATGAAAACACCGATACAGGTGCCAAAAAAAACCCCGCCCCTCAAAGCCGCCCATCCGCCGATCGGTAGTTCAGTCTTACCTGAGAAACCATCGATCCCGGCTCTGGGCATAGAGATGGGTGAAGGAAAGATGGCCGCCACACATCTCTATGCCCTTGGAGGACCAGAGTGATGTCGCTTCCGGCCTCTTTTTTTTTTTTTTTAAAGCACTAGATCAATGCTTTACATTGCAGAGGAGAGATGTGGGGTCTTATTGACCCCGCATCTCTCCATAAAGGAGGACCTGTCACTAATTATTCCCATCACAAGGGATGCATGCATTTCTTGTGCTAAGAACAGAAGTGATTACAATTTATTTTTAAAAGGAACAGTGCAAAAAACAAAAAAATTAAATACATTTTTAAAAAAAAGTTTAAAGTGCCCCTGTTCCCCCATGCACACGTAGTGGTGAAGGCATACGTAGGCCATGCCCACATATGTAAATGGTGTTCAAACCACACACGTGAGGTATCGCCACGAACATCAGAGCAAAAGCAATAATTCTCGCACTAGACCTCCTCTGTAACGTTACACTGCTGACCTGTAGAAATTTTTAAAGCATCACCCATGGAGATTTTTAAGCACCGCAGTTTCATGCCATTCCACGAGCGTGCGCAATTTTAAAGCGTGACATGCTGGGTATCCATTTACTCGCCGTAATATCCTCTTACATATTTTACAAAACAATTGGGGTATATATTTTTTTTTTTTAATCAAAGCGTATTTTTTTCCAAAAAATATATATTCATTTTTAAAAATTGCACATTTCGGTTTTCAGCCAAGTGCATTTTGAATTTTTGTTTTCGGTACCAGAATCTTCATTTTGGTGCACCACTAGTGGGAAGCCTCACTTTCCTCATTCACTGCAAGTGCTGCTAGTAATACGGAGTTGTGTCAGAGCTTACTGAGCGTCAAAGAGGGCAAATTGTTGGTGCCGCTTAGCTGGTGCCTCTGTGACAATTTTATTTGTGTGTGGTGAGGTGCAGTATCAAAGGTTATGACGGCATATACAGTTTCCAGGAAAGCATAAGTGCGGACGACATGGTCAGCTGACCAAAAGAGACAAAAGGACATTGCGCAGGATTGTGACCTGGAATAAGAAAACAACTTCTGCAAAAGTGACTGCAGAGCTCAATCTCAGTCTTCCAAAGCCCGTGTCCACAAAAATTGTGTGAAAGGAACTCCCATCAGCAAAAGATTCACATGTGAGCTGCAACTGCCAATGATGCAACACCCATAAATCATGGACTATCGATCAATGGAAGACTGTAATATGATCCAATGAATCGAGCTTCACACTGTTCCCAACCACCGGACGTGTGTATGCATGGCCAACACTGTCCCAAGCTTATGACCAGGATGGTCTTGTGCCGACGGTAAAGCATGGTGGCAGCACAATCATGGTTTGGGCAGCCATAACTTGGTATTCTGCAGGCCCCATTATCACCTTGAAAGGTAGAGTCACTGCCAGTGACTATGTACAAAGTTTGGCCAACCATGTGCACCCCATAGTGCAGACACGGTTTCCCAAAGACCGCGCCACTTACCAAGAAAATAATGCTCCGAATTCACACAGCTGGTAATGTCAAAAGCATGCAGTTTTGCACTTTCCCTAGGTGCCACAGTTGCTGGATCTCAATATTATAGAGCCACTATGGTCAATTTTGGAGCCTGAACAAGATTCGGGCTCTTTTCCGCCTCAACATCTGTGCGAGGACTGGAATGATTTTTGCATGAAGCGTGGTAAAGATTGCGTTATCCTCAATTCAAGACTTGTCAAATACCAGGAGAATTCAGGCTGTCTTGAATGCCAAAGACGGTACAACACCATATTAGGTAGTACTTTTGTTGGTTTTCCTGTGGTGTGTGTAGTACAGGTGAAACTCGAAAAATTATAATATCGTGCAAAAGTTCATTTATTTCAGTGCAGCAACTTAAAAGGTGAAACTAACATATGAGATAGACTCATTACATGCAAAGCAAGATAGTTCAAGCCGTGATTTGTCATCATTGTGATGATTATGGCTTACAGCTCATGAAAACCCCAAATCCACAATCTCAGAAAATGAGAATATTCCATGCAATCAATAAAACAAGGATTGTACATAGAACAATATGGGACCTCTGAAAAGTAGAAGCATGCATATGTACTCAGTACTTGGTTTGGGCCCCTTTTGCAGCAATTACTGCCTCAATGCGGCGTGGCATGGAAGCTATCAGCCTGTGGCACTGCTGAGGTGTTATGGAAGACCAGGATGCTTCAATAGCGGCCTTCAGCTCTTCTGCATTGTTCGGTCTCATGTCTCTCATCTTTCTCTTGGCAATGCCCCATAGATTCTCTATGGGGTTCAGGTCAGGCGAGTTTGCTGACCAATCAAGCACAGTAATCCCACGGTCATTGAACCAGGTTTTGGTGCTTTTGGCAGTGTGGGCGGTGCCAAGTCCTGCTGGAAAATGAAGTCAGCATCCTCATAAAGCTCGTCTGTGGAAGGAAGCATGAAGTGCTCCAAAATCTCCTGGTAGACGGCTGCGTTGACCCTGGACTTAATGAAGCACAGTGGACCAACACCAGCAGATGACATGGCTCCCCAAATCAACACAGACTGTGGAAACTTCACACTGGACTTCAAGCATCTTGCAGTGTGTGCCTCTCCATTCTTCCTCCATACTCGGGGTCCTTGGGCCTCTCCATTCTTCCTCCATACTCGGGGTCCTTGGGCCTCTCCATTCTTCCTCCATACTCGGGGTCCTTGGGCCTCTCCATTCTTCCTCCATACTCTGGGTCCTTGGGCCTCTCCATTCTTCCTCCATACTCTGGGTCCTTGGGCCTCTCCATTCTTCCTCCATACTCGGGGTCCTTGGTTTCCAAATGAGATGCAAAAGTTGCTCTCATCAGAAAAGAGGACTCTGGACCACTGAGCAACAGACCAGGTCTGTTTTTCTTTAGCCCAGGTAAGACGCTTCTGACGTTGTTTGTTGTTCAGGAGCAGCTTGACAAGAGGAATACGACATTTGAAGCCCATGTCCAGGATCCGTCTGTGTGTGGTGGCTCTTGATGCACTGACTCCAGCCTCAGTCCACTCCTTGTGAAAGTCCCCAACACTTTTGAATGGCCTTTTCCTGACAATCTTCTCCAGGCTGCGGTCATCCCTGCTGCTTGTGCACCTTTTTCTTCCACATAACTTTCTATTAATGTGCTTTGATACAGCACTTTGGGAACATCCAACTTCTTTTGCAATTACCTTTTGAGGCTTTCCCTCCTTATGGAGGGTGTCAATGATGGTTTTCTGCACAACTGTCAGGTCAGCAGTCTTTCCCATGATTGTGATTCCTACTGAACCAGACAGAGACCATTTAAAGGCTCAGGAACCCTTTGCAGGTGTTATGGCTTAATTATCTGATTAGAGTGGGACACTTTGAGCCAAGAATATTGCACCTTTTCACAATATTCTAATTTTCTGAGATTGTGGATTTGGGGTTTTCATGACTGTAAGCCATAATCATCACAATGATGACAAATCACGGCTTGAACTATCTTGCTTTGCATGTAATGAGTTTATCTCATATATTAGTTTCACCTTTTAAGTTGCATTACTGAAATAAATTAACTTTTGCACGATATTCTAATTTTTCGAGTTTCACCTGTATATATTTTACATACCTATATCATGTCTGTATACAACCACAGGGAAGGGGCAAGCATCCACAAACAGAGAAGCATGTCATCCCTCTAACCAAAATGAAAAGGTTCTACCTTGAGATATAAAACCATATGGATCTTTTACCTTATTGTTTTAGAATACAAGTTACTGGGTGTCTGGCTTCCAGTGTCAGGACTTGTGTTTGAACCAAACTCTGGTAAAGAGGGCTCTGATCCAAATTCCAAGGCTCCAAACTGCACATTCAATCCAGTGACATCAGCCGATCCTGGCATCTCTACTGCAGATGCGGGAATCTGCCAAAAAAAAAAACAAAACAAAAAACACAAGGTGAAGTGAACCTTATCACTCGAAATAGGTAACGTTTATAGCAAGGCCAAGAAATCTTTAGCAGTAGGTTTCCAATACCTTTTACTTATATCTCAAAGCGGAGCTCCACCCAAAAGGGGAAGTTCTGCTTTAAAGACTGGTCCTCCGCTCCCCATTAAGGACTGGCACCCTTGGGAAGCAGGTACCCGAAATTGACAGGTACCCGCTCCCACTGCGATCGCCTAGGTGATTGGAAGCAGAAGTTGTCCTCCCGTCCTCCCTCTCCGTAGTCTTCTGGGACACGACAGGTCCCAGAAGACTACGGGGCCATTCAGGACGTGCAGCGCTTCTCATGCAAGCGCAGTTGGCACCCGGCTGTGAAGCCGCAAGCTGTCACAGCCGGGTGCCCACACTGTGGATGGCGGCTCCTGGAACACCAGACAGCAGGTGAAACAGGCTGTGGAGGACACCACCACAGGACAGGTAAGTGGTTGTTTTTTAAAAGTCAGCAGCTACAGTTTTTTTGTAGCTGCTGTCTTATTTTTTTACAGTGTGAGTTGAACTCCGCTTTAAGAGTCAAAGTTAACCTGACCTCTCCTCTAAAAGGTGCAAAAGGCCTCATTCTCTAGCTGCACACTGGTGTCCCTCTGGTGGAGCCATATAAATTCAGAACTTGCAAGTAATTAGAAGCCTCTATTGCATGGGCTTTAATTACATTTTTAGAGCAAGTCACTTTAATTTATTCAGCACATACTTCTAATGGGCCTTGCAAGCTTGTAGACCCCCAGCACGCTCTGTAAGCAGGCCTTGACTTTCAACTCGGGGCTCCAAAATTCCCTTGGACAGAGAACAGACTGCTGAATAAATGGCACTGACAGGTGCCACAGAATGCAACAGTGGTACTTCTTTAAGTGGGGTGTACGTGACAGATTCTCTTTAACTGGCAGACAGTAATTGCAAATGCAGAGCACTCAGCGCTATAGTATTCCACACACAAGGTTCAAATATGTGCTTGGAAATAAAACATCACTGTGCTCTGGACTCACTTTTTCTTAAACCGGGGCAGAAAAAAAAACAAAACACAAAAACAAAAAACCAAGAGCTGTCTGTCTATATCAGCCATCAAGGCTATAATTCTGTCTGCCAAGGCCAAAGAACTATTTAATAAAGTCATAAAAAAAATCTATAAGCAATACCCTGACCAAGAAGCGTGAGACTGCAACAATGGAGGAAGGATTCTCTGGGTTACTGACCTTCGAAGTTGGGGGTATCCTCCGTTTCTGCGGTTTTATGTGTTTCTGCTGATGAGTCTGCTGGGCGGACATGGCCTGGGAGTCCAGTGACACACTGGGCAGCTGCAGCATTTTGCCCACAGAGGTAGAGCTGTCCACCGGAGACGTCTCGCGCAGCTTCACCTGTGAAGTGAAGGTCTCCAGTCCGGGAGGTGGTACAGGCACTGGCTGTACCTGGTGCTGCTGCTGTCGCTGGGCAAGCTGGCTGAGCACAGGCGAGGGCTCCGGCTGGGATTTGAAATCTACGGTAAAAAAACAGAACGGCTTAGTGGGCTTAACGCAGGCCATAGACGGGGAGAAAACCGGCCGAAAATTCATCTGAAAGAATAATCGGCCAATTTTCGGCTCGTTAGTGGGTGAATTTGTTGGCAGTTTTTCATGATTCCGACACATTTCTTTAATCGGTGAAGTTGGAAAAAAATCGGCCGAATTTGCCGATCGGCCGATTTTCATGGCAATGATGGGCAAATCGGCCGATCTTTTTACCGATTAACAAAAATGCACATGAGCCGTGACCTGCAAGAAGAGGAAAAAGAAGAAACAGAAGAAGATGAAGACAAAAGAAAAAGAACATCTGTACTTTTAAATGTCAAATAGAATAGTGGAGTGAAAGTATAGCAAAGTTGCAACATTGTATCCATTTGTATCCAAATAGAAACATCTGTATCCGAAATGGATACAAATAGATACAATGTTGCAACTTTGCTATACTTTTAAAAGTCAAATATAATAGTGGAGCTCTCTGCAACTATTATATTTGCCGGCCGTAGACGGGACGAAAATCAGCCGACGTTTTTTTTTACCAATGGTGGTATCGTCGGCTGATTGAACGACCGATTTTTCGTTTTTCTTAAAAAAAAAACAAAAAAAAAAAAACACGGCTGGTTTTCTCCCTGTCTATGGCCTGCATAAGATAAAGTGCCAGACACAACTGCTTTGGTCTTACACCCAAAACCTCATGTATAGTCTAGCTAGGCCTTGGATCCAGAGGAATCAATATAAAAAAAAAAAAAAAAAAAAAAAAAAAAAGAATCATTGAGGTGCCTGTACATTAGCGCGGTTACCTTAGAAATGTTTTAGCCAGGTCAGCTATTAACCACTTCATGTCCGGACACTTTTACCCCCTTCCTGGCCAGGCCAATTTTCAGCGCTGTCACACTTTGAATAACAATTGCATGGTCATGCAACACTGTACCCGTATTAATTTTTTAGCATTTTTTTTTTTTGAGACACATAAAACTTTATTTTGGTGGTATTTAATCACCACTGGGATTTTTGATGAAAAAGCCCAAAAATTTAGAAAAAAAAAAGTGTTTTTCTTATAAAATTTTACAAATAATCTTTCTTCATAAATCTTGGCCAAAATGTATTCAGTTATCTTTTTAGTAACAACAAAAAAAATAACCCAAATTAGTTTATAACCAAACATTGTCACAGTATAGGGGCTGCCAGGGTACCCCAAATTAGCTGTGTCCACCCTCCCCTGCAATAATACATTCCAGCCCAATACAGTGCATTGCAGTCCCAAAACTTCGTTAAGTAATTTCCTCCATGTCCATGTCATTGGCCATGAGGCCCGCCCCTCATTGCCAGGACGACTGGGGGGCGTCCTACACCGTTTTAAGAGACCGGTGCTGGGCTCTTCCCGATCATCCTCTTCTGCTGCCAAGCCACTGAGGGATACCAGCTGCGGCGGGACCCTCGTGGCCAACTCTGCCTGAGACCCCCCCCAAGGATACGGGGGAGCCACGGGGGGGGGGGGGGGGGGAATACTACCACGGACTATGCCACGCATACTATCCCGTTTCTTTGTGGGCTCGGGCGCCCTGTCGGATCCGCGAGTGTATGCTCCCCGTTTTGCCTGAACTGTTCTTGTACTTCTCCTCTGCCTCTCTGTTGGATTACAAACTGCTGTAGAGACTTTAACTTTGCCCCTCTCCTTGCTATTTCCATACTGGGCGCTGTCCCACTCCCTGCAATCCCCCTCCTACTCCGAGACCCAGATTACCCGCTGTGCTGTGTGCTGAGGAGGTTCGCCCCCCCTTTTTTTTGTTCCTGTCGCCTGCTGTGAGCCAGGACCTACCTGCCGGAGCCCTGATTGTCCGCAAGTTGCCTACCTCCCTGGAAGCTGCCCGCTGTCGAGTGTCTGCAAGCTACATACCCCCCCTGGAAGCCGCCTGCTGCTGAACATCTGCAACATGCCCATCGTGAGAGTCCCTAGAAGCCATGAACTGCCCCTAGTGTGCGCACAGACCACCCTTGTCATGAACTGTCCCTATTGTGTGTGCAGACCACCCTTGTCATGAGCTACCCCTATTGCACGCCCAGACTACCCTTACTTGAACCGCCCCATGGCGTGCCCGCAGTATAGCTACCTGGGATGCCCCTGAGTGCTTGAGCCATCGCTACCTACTGAGTCCCCGTGAGCCTGATGTCCCTAGAAAGCTGGGTGGGAGCTGTGCTGAGGTCAGCCCCCCTAGTCAAGGTCCTGCTGAGTCCCCGTGAGCCTGTTCCTAGTATGCTGTGTGGGAGCTGTGATGAGACCAGATGCCACAGCCAAAGTCCCGTTGAGTCCCCGTGAGCCTGATGTTGTCCCTAGTACGCTGTGTGGGGGTTGTGCTGAGGTCAGACCCCATCGCCAAGGTCCCATTGAGTACCCATGAGCCCGCTTATCGTGGGTGTCCCTACAAGCTGCATGCCGCGGAGTGCCATGGACTGTCCTGATTAAGTGTCTTTCATAGTTCAATAAAGCTTTGTGTGTTCCCCATCTTCTTTGTGCATTCTGTCCTGCCTACGCTTCCGTCACAATTATAATTTTTCAAAATGTTTTTTTTTACATTTCATTTCATTTTTTGGATTATTTATTTTTTAACATACTGTCACCCTAGCAGTACAGTGTAACTATATTGACACTGTACTTGTGGGGGGTGATGATTTTTTTTTTTTTTTTTTACACCGATTGCTTTTACACCCATAAAGGCTGTAAAAGCAATCATTTCTCCTTCTCTCTGACTGCATTCTTACAGCCATTGATAAATACTGTGGGAGCTGTGATTGGTCACAGCTTGTCACATGGTACAAGGCTGTTGTGAATAGCCCTGTACCATGTGATCTCTGTGATCGTTCACAGATTTCATAAGTAGTAAGCAATGATATCAGAAGTGACATCTTGCTTACACCTATTCATGTGATCACTGATTGGCCAATCAGTGATCACATGATCGGGACCACACACACAGAGGTCCCGTACAGAGATCGGTGTTATCCAGATACAGCAGGCACCGGATTGTGGAGCAGCGTGCTCCCAGGGAGCGAGCACAATCCAAAATGGCGGGCGCCATTTATGAACACCAACCCACCCCTGCACGGCCACTGTCCGGCCATTTATATACAGCGACCGGACGGGAAGTGGTTGTATCACCTGAGGCCAGTCACTTCACTGGGTGTATGTGAGTGTTTACAAAGAGGTGAAACAAATCCTCCTACATAAGTTGTACCTGTTTATCTACATCTGTATTTCCTCTATATCCACTCAAAGAGAAGAATTTACGCAGGATCTCCCTGAAAAGCAGGAGGCGGGGAGCTGAAGTTACACTTCCAGGAGAGATCTGAGCCCTGAACGGAGGGAAAGGACACATCCGCCCCTCCACACAGAACAGAGATGAAGCTGTAAAAGACAGGCTGTGCCCTCCGTCACCATTTTTCTCTTGGTCTCAGAAAAACTCATCAGAAGTGATTCATGCTGACAGCAGGCAGAAATGACACTTAGTTGCCCTCCCAGAACTAGACGACTGTGCTGTAGCATTCTTTCCGCTATGGTTTAGTCGGGAGATGGTTAAGATTTGATTTTGGGCTTTAACCACTTTCCGTCCGGCCCATGTATATAAACGGCTGGACGGGGGCAGTGCAGGGGTGGGTTGCCGTTCATAAACGGCGCCCACCATTTTGGACTATGCGTGCTGCCTCTGAGCGCGCAACACCGTGATCCGGAACACCAATCACTGTACGGGACCTCTGTGTAAGGTCCCGATCATGTTAACACTAATTGGCCAATCAGTGATCACATGAATACTAGTAAGCAAGATGTCACTTCTGACATCATTTCTTACTACTTGTGAAATCTGTGAATGATCACAGAGATCACATGGTACAGGGACTATTCACAACAGCCTTGTACTATGTAACAAGCTGTGACCAACCACAGCTCACACAGTATTTCTCAATGGCTGCAAGAATGCAGTCAGAGAGGAGAAATGATTGCTTTTACAGCCTTTATGTGTGTAAAAGCAATCAATGTAAAAAAAAAAAAAAAAAATCATCACCCCCAAAAAAGTAGTACAGTGTCACAGACATTGTACTGCTAGGGTGACAGTATGTTAAAAATGTTAAAAAAAACATATATAAAAAATAAAAATGTTAAAAACATTTTTTCAAAAAATTTAAATTTTTGGTTAGAAACTAATTTGGTTTTTTTTTTTTTTAAACTAAAAAGATAACTGAATAATTTTTGGCCAAGATTTATGAAGAAAGATTATTTCCAAACTTTTTTATAAGAAAAACACTTTCAAAATTTTTGGACTTTTTCATTTATATAGCAAAAACTAAAAATCCCAGAGGTGAATAAATACCACCAAAATAAAGTTTTATCTTTCTCAAAGAAATGCTAAAATTTCATACAGGTACAGTGTTGCATGACCGCGCAATTGTCATTCTAACTGTGACAGCACTGAAAGCTGAAAATTGGCAGGGGGCAGGGGGGGGAGCGAAAGGTCGGGACCGGAAGGGGGGGGGGGAAAGCGTCGGGACCGGAAGGGGGGGGAAAGCGTCGGGACCGGAAGGGGGGGGAAAGCGTCGGGACCGGAAGGGGGGGGGAAAGCGTCGGGACCGGAAGGGGGGGGAAAGCGTCGGGACCGGGAAGGGGGGGGAAAGCGTCGGGACCGGAAGGGGGGGGAAAGCGTCGGGACCGGAAGGGGGGGGAAAGCGTCGGGACCGGAAGGGGGGGGAAAGCGTCGGGACCGGAAGGGGGGGGAAAGCGTCGGGACCGGAAGGGGGGGGAAAGCGTCGGGACCGGAAGGGGGGGGGAAAGCGTCGGGACCGGAAGGGGGGGGAAAGCGTCGGGACCGGAAGGGGGGGGGAAAGCGTCGGGACCGGAAGGGGGGGGGAAAGCGTCCGGGACCGGAAGGGGGGGGGAAAGCGTCGGGACCGGAAGGGGGGGGGAAAGCGTCGGGACCGGAAGGGGGGG